TTGGTTTGATTCAATACGGTCTAATTAAAAATGGCCTAAATTGTTCATTGCTATTATTATGTCGAATTGATATTAATTATTAAATATCAAAACTTTAAATTCTCTAATCATTTGAATTTGAGATCACTTTTCTCTCAAGATTTTAGAGACGGAGTTGTGTTAAGTCTAGGAGTGACCTTGGCCCCCTCACCACAATCGATACTACATATATCTATATATTTACCTAATTAAAGGCAAATGGTCAATAAAATAAAAAGCAATCCTTGAATAAATTGGTTTACTTTAGTTATACTAGTTTGAGATCACTTCTCTCCCAAGATTTTAGGGACGGAGTTGTGTTAAGTCTAGGAGTGACCTTGGCCCCCTCATCACAAATCAATACTACCTATATCTATATATTTACCTAATTAAAGGCAAATGGTCAATAAAATAAAAAGCAATCCTTGAATAAATTGGTTTACTTTAGTTATACTAGTTTGATTGCCTTTCGAACACCACCCCCAAAAAAAAAAAAAAAAAAAAAACTAGTTTGATTGCCTAAATCGAATATTTCGAACATTGGGAGACTATTCCGGTCCACAACCCAACATTGTTACATTGAAGTCGGACCGACCGACCCAGCCGGTCTAGTTGGAAAATCCAATAAACTCGGCGCTCTCAGGCTTAACATATAAATCCCTACGATCCTCCAAAATCCCTAAAAAGCTCGCGCGTTCAACAGGTATCATCTTCCACACCGAGTCCTCCTATTTTCACAAGAATTCTTCTTTGTTTGGGGTTTGCGAATCCTATATATAGACATCTATTTTTTCACAACATAAAACTTCCACACTAACTGAATCTTTCGGATATTTAGTTTAGAAAGAGAAGCAACTTGAATTGAATCAGAGAGCTTAAGGGTTTTTGAAGAGAAGCGAAGATGGGAGAGCGTAAGGTGCTGAACAAGTACTATCCACCGGACTTCGACCCATCGAAGCTGCCCAGAATCAGGAGGCCCAAGAATCAACAGATAAAGGTGCGGATGATGCTTCCCATGAGCATTCGCTGCAATACTTGTGGCAATTACATCTACAAAGGCACCAAATTCAATTCTCGCAAAGAAGATGTCGTCGGAGAGGTACTTCGTTGATCAGTAGGGTTTCTAACTGCATAGCCTAGCTCGCCTTGATTTGATTTCTAAGGTTTTTCTTTTTGTTTTAACTCATAATCGGTATGCTTGTTCTTTGAGAACAATCGTCTTGGCCTTTGGGGCAATTTGTGTTTGATTATTTGCTTTGGTTGGACACGATACTTGTTATGTTCTGTGGACTGACTTGTTAATGTTTTTATCATTTGCAGACGTATTTGGGAATTCAAATATTTAGATTTTACTTCAAATGTACCAAGTGCTCCGCTGAGCTCGCGATGAAGACAGACCCACAGAATTCAGACTATGTTGTTGAGGCCGGTGCTACACGAAATTTTGAACCCTGGCGCAATGAGGATGAGGTAAAAGAGAAGCAAAAGAAAAAGGATAACTTCCAACTTACTGCATTGTTTCGTGTTTTCAGATTCCCTTATACTCTGATCACTGATCAACATTGTTTAACGGCTTGATATATGTTTTCTTTTCAGGAATTAGATAAGGAGAAACAAAAAAGGGAGTCTGAAGAAATGGGAGACGCCATGAAATCCTTGGAGAACAGAACCCAGGATTCAAAAAGAGAGATGGACATCATGGCTGCTTTGGATGAGATGAAGTCCATGAAGGTAGGTGCCTGACTAGTGTATCTTACGACAAGGTCATCAAATTTGATGCTTTGTAACTTGGATGGATGGATAGATAATGTAGTGGATGTGATGTAATTATGCAGTTCTGCAACTAAATTGTAGTGCATCACATTTACGTTTATGTAAATATGTATATGTATAATATGTTATGTAGTATTCAATTCCTTTGTGTTGGCTGCAAGTCAGTATCCCCTAATACTAATACAATGTATGTGGTTTCCAGGCCAGACATTTTAATGTGAGTGCGGATGACATGTTGGAGGCTTTGAAACACACGGCTGCGTTGAAGGTACAAATTTATGCACTTTTTATATCTAGACCAGTTTAACCCCAATAAATAGAGACACATGTATATATATGGTATTGCTCCCTGTCCAGTGTCATGAATTGTATGGTGTATACATGCGAATCTCTTTAGATATTATTATGCAAAAACATATTGGACCATGGTTCCTGAAGTGTGTGATGATGTGGTTTCCATGAATATGTTACAACATCATGTAATTCAGGGTACAATAATAATATAGCCAAAAAATTTGATAGGGAACTTCTAAAGCCCACGTATTATAATGAGTTGGTTACTGTCTTTTTAATTAAGAAAGAAGAAAGAAGCTGCACTTAATTAAAAGTGAGTTGAATTATCTTCTTGTTCTGAACCCAGTCAATGGATAAACCAAATACCTGATGTAATCAGCTTATTGAAATGAGATACATCACCTAGGGAGGTGAATTTGAAGGAGTGAATACATGCGCTTTTTCTTCTGGAAGCATGTTTTGTGCATTCATTTCTATCTTCAACTTGCTCTGCTACCTGTTTAGTCTCGGTTTTATTATTTAGTTTTGAATGTAATAAAATATTGATGTGCTGACAGGAGAAAATGATTGAAGAGGAGGATGAAGCAGCCTTAAAATCCGTACTATTCCATGTTAGTATTGACGTACTACCTTTGTTTTATGTCCAGCTTAATTCTGTTTCTTTTTCTTTTATTTTTCCTATTCTTTATTGCGGGATGTTTGTTTCTAATACGACCTTTCTTTTTTTGTTTTCCAAAAAATTTATGCAGAACTCAAAAGATTTTGTTCGAAGGGTTCCTGATGAAGATATTGAGCCTTTAAGTGGCAACGGTGAAACATCAGATCATAATTTCAAGGTATGACTTGTTGGTTGTTGTTTAGATATTGTGTCTTATCAAAGAATACTTAGACAGTGTGTTGAACCTTTTGTTTTAGATTAATCCAGCTCTACCTTATAGGGTCTTTTATGCCTGTCCCTGGATGGAGCATAACATGTGGTTTTTGATATAGGTGTATAGCATGTGTTCTTATTTCCGTTTTATTTGAATTGTGTATTCTTCATTCTTTACTAAATAGTCCCCGCATAGATTGTGTTGAGCATTTCAAGTGGGGTACCCATAAATAGACAATTGGATCCATGCTACCTCCACAATGCACTGCAGAGAATGTGCTTCCACTATCTTCAAATAATTGTCATTCCTCTAGATTTAGCATTTCCCTTTGAACTTGGTAATTGTAGTGCAAATGGCAGAAACAATCTTCAATATAGGATATGTTCCCTTATGTCATCAAGCTCGACGTAATTTTAGGTAGGTGACATGTAAAGATTAGTCAAGGTTGTTGATATTCCTTACAGATAATTCTACGTGCACTTTGAGGTCTACACGGTGCTTCCACTATTTAAGTACTTTTTAGGCCTGTAATATGGTGTAGGAAAAAGGTTTAGCTTGAGAGTCTTAGATATGACATGATGTTAGAGGAGAAAATTGTGAACATCAATATATGGAGGATGAAGGCTTTATAGATGAAGAGGAGAGAGAGTGGGTGGGCACAAAACTGAAAGTATCTTTTCTTAATTGCTAGAAATTGCATAGTAACACTTACACTGGGAGGCTATCAAACACCCTGTGGAATGAAAGGAATTAATACTTTCCCCTGTGAGCTAGTAGGCCTCAACTTGCTTAAATAACACCGACCATGTTTTATGTCACAACAGTTAATGTGATATCCATGTCTCTGTAATGGACAACAGTAAGCTTACGAATGTTTGTGTGCACATTTTACCATGCAGAGGCCAAAGCTTACCCAAGACACACCTAGCAACCCGACAGATTGGTTGACAAAAAGCAGTATTTTTAATATCTCAAGCAAGAGAGGTATGCTCGACACACTAGGTTTTCGTCTCTGAATTCCTTTATAGATTTCCGTTTGGCATTATTGAACATTTTATTATTTGGCTATTGATAGGAAATCAAAATGGCTCAGAAGCTCCAACTGATGCTAAATTCACTTTGAAGTCGTCAACTGTTAGGGTTTCTATAGTTAAGAAACCAGTTGCGGCTGAAGGTAACAAGTCAGTGGAAGGAGAAGATCAGAAACAATTGGGAGAGGAGGTTCAAAATTCTACAAAACCAGATGATGAAAAGCAAAAGGGAGAGAATAAAACCAATGCTACAAGCAATGTACTACAGTCATTGTGCCAAAACTATGATAGTGATGATGAATAGTTGTCGATTAGTTGTATCTACTTCCCATTTTTATTCCCATAATCATGTCTTGAGGAAATCTTTTCAGTATATCCTGATCTATCTTGGTTACCATTATGTATTAAGAGAATGAATGTTGTAAAAATGAGAACATAACTTCTAAAGTGTGGGCCTAACTTTTCTAAAGGAAATATTTTAACTTTCTGGCCCCCCTTAATTAGTACTAGTACATGGTGATTGTTGTATAGGCAGATTGAGACCAGAAATTGTGAATGTTGATTAGGGAAACAATGTACCAATCAACAAGGACATACTTAGATCTTCCTGTCTGATACAATTTGGAAGGGGAAGAAACTACACAACATAATCATGATCTGCTTGTCTGAAGCGATTTATTTATCTGAAAGGTGAAACAACAGGAATTTCAGGAACTCTTGCCAGCCACTATGACTGTTCTCCTCAAATACATAATCCAAGTCACAAGGTGCAAATTGAGTGGTCTCATTCACAAACCCACTTTTGCTAACCTCCCTGATTTACAGAACTGGATATAATTATGATTTTGGCCTGATTGTGGATGCTTAAGTATCTGGCTGGGTTGGCTTTCTGCAGGATATCTTATTGTTTTTGAATAATGCGTTCATTTTCTCTTTTGCTCTGCAGAATATATTGTGATATTTACAAAGCAACAAAATGATGAGAATACCATAGGGATGGAGAATTGCATTCAGGCAAGGCAACAATAAAATATCCCATTTATTAGCGAAGAGTTACTAAAACCTTACTCATAAACTGAAATAAAACATGTCAAGATCATTTCAAACAATTATACAAAGCCTTCGAAAATGCTAAGAAAAACAATGGCTAAGACGGTAGTCTGAAGCACACTGCCTACCGAATGTGAAACAGTAAGGAACTGTTTTGCCACCATCAAACACGTTAACAGAAACATATTTTTGAAGTTAAGCATGGGTGTAGGCAAGAGATGCAAAAAGGTCTATCTCTGGCCCTTCTTTTTCCACAAGTCACCAAACATTTTTATCCCGGAACCCTTTCGTTTCCCACTACCAAATCCATCATCCAAATCATCAGCGGGTGACCCAACAAAGCCAGCATAGCCACCAGCTGGTGGCTCAAACACTCCACCAAAGTGCTTATCCATGGAGCCACACCTCTCAGAAATCCTCCCATTCATCTCCATACCCCCAGAAAGTACTGCTGCAGCAGCATCTGCTGCCTTTCTCCACTGCTCTGTCTGTATTCTCATCTTCTTCATCTCAGCGTCCATTGTTTCCTTTGCTCCTTCCATTGCTTGCAGCTTCTCATTCAACTGGCCTGCACTGGCCTTACTTGCTTCCAGCTCTTGTTCAAGCTGGCTTAACTTCAAGGTCATTTCCTTGTCCTTTGCTTGTGCAGATGAGAAATTTAAAGCTGCCTCATTCAGCTGATTTTTCAAACCCTCATTTTCTTGACCAAACACCTCTAGCTCATTTGCCTTCTCTTCCAACTCAGCTCTTAGCATGTTTATCTCATCATTCTTCAAAGCCAGGTCATGTAAGGACAGTTTCTCTGGTTCCATAACTGATGGTGGATCAGCTGATATATCAACTGGTTTGGTTTCTTCTTCCACTTGATCAGTCTCACTAGGTTCAACCTTGGGCTCAACTGTGACGCGTTCCACAGGGACTTCGAAAACATCAGTTTCCCTTTGGCAGTCATCTGGAACTTCCTCAGAGGTACAACTGTCTGTTTTGTTAGAATCTTGGATCTCCAATGACGGATGCGTTCCATGGATTTTCACTGGCTCTGAAGTCACAACTGGTTTCTTAATTTTCTTTTCCAGTTTCTCTTGGGCTTCTTTCTTTGCAGCCTCAGCTGAAGCCAACTGCTCTTTCAAAATCCTTAGCTCTTCTTGTGCTTGCCCAAGTTGCGATTCTAAATCAGCAAGGCGGGTTCCAAGCTTCTTTTGATTTAGTGGATCAGATTGTGTACCTCTTGGGGAACGACGATCTCCTAGCTTTGGACTTCGGTCAGTGATTGGTCGATGATGGAGTGGATCTGAATCAGAGCTTGAAGTCCTGAGCTGATGTGCTCCTCGAGGAGACGGCCTCTGAACCATTTCGGAGCCCCTATTCCTCAAAAGCAATGACGAGAAATTTCCATCAGAATTCCATTTTCATATATACTCACATATCTCTTAAGACATGTAATATGAACCATTAGAGTTCAAAAAAGAACTTTCTATTAGGATAAAACACAGTTCTGATCACTGTATTTAGGGCCAAAGACAGATTTGGTCACCCTTGTAGTTGTAATTATAGCATGCACATAAACACGTCTTCACAGCAGCAGGACACAGAAATCAAACCCAGATAAAAGCTTTTATGATAAAGAGCATCCTCTAACCTTGATCGCGGCATTTGATGAGCTTAGAAGATTGGCTGAAGAAAAGAGACGAGGACTTGCAAGTTGAAAGCTTGTGTTCTGCACAATTTTAGTTGTGATCACAAGAAAGAAATAAGCAGTTTCAAGCACATAACTAGGATATCAGCATAATAATGATAGTTGAAAATGCTGTTGTATGTATTATCGAATAAAAATTCCATGCTCCTTTTAACTCACATTCTACCTTAACCTACTTTGATGCAAAATACAAGGGGGGAAAAATGATCCTGGAGCAACTAATATTGATGCAATAGAAGTTCCAAAATAATAATATATTCTACTTCCTCTGAGGATCATTCTTCTAACAGAAGCATGCCTAAACTTACTAGGGCAATGACATTCAAATATCCCTGCTAAGCACAAAGCCACTATTGCTCACAAATGAGAGCCTCTATAAACTATAAAGGGTAAATTGACCCATCTGGAAAAAAGATGTGGTTACTCAATTCAAGGCATATTTTCACTTTTTGCAAAACCCTATTTCCCTCATAGACTGCATCTCCCCCAGCATGCTTCTGGGACAGTGCAAAAGCATTCTCAAACATCTCTCTTCCCCACCCACCATGTATCTTATTATGCATTACCACATTATCAAATGCAGGGCATGCTTTTCAACCTAAAAGCTCAGAGTATTTCTTGGGCTTGAAATTTGCCCGGG